ATGTTCATTCCACTATATACTGGTTGAGGTGCAAGAATGGACATACACGTAAGTCTTCACAGAGCTAAGAATGCCTCCTTGCAGCACTCTTAAAAATATGGCAATCTGGTACCTGACATCTTCAGATACTAGGTTGCCTGTGTATCCTGGAAGCAATATTGGCAATGCCCTATATAAAACATGCAAAACATCTCAAAACTCGTCACCGAAATCTCACAATCTAATTTTTGTGAGATTTCAGACTTGAGAACGTGTCTGGGTTTTCATGTTGGATTATGATAGCACTTAAAACTGCTACTACATGTCTGGTTGACAAAATCACCAGGTTATGAGGCATAGTTCTTTCACATTATTTGTTTTTATTTTAAAATTTCTTGTATGAAGGGTACAGGCATATTGTGATTTTTGTATTGTGCTATATCCTAATTTGAGATTATTGCAAAATGAAATACATTGGTGTAAGAGAAAAATGTCATACTCCATTGCCTGGTACATAAATATACATATAAAACTACGCATATAATAGTTCAAAATGGAGCCTAAACTAAACTTGTTTTCTCTAGATTCTGGCAGTTCCAGCAGACCTGGGCTATGATGATTTTCATTTGTAGAGATTGCTATTTTTGCTACCAAAATAATTCCATAAATATCTGTTGAATTATCAGAAACAGAATGGGAAATACCTAATTTCTTTAACAGAAGCCCTCCATTCAATGCTGGTTCGTTTAGTAAATAGAATGAATTTTTCTATTCAAGTCTGGATCCAACCCATGTAACCCTTTTGGGTGAGTCTTTTGAGAGAGGAGCAATATAGAAAGAACATTTCTAAAATTGGGAAATATGAAATTCATATCCAAGTACCTTTGAAAGCAATGATTTAACACATAGGGTGAAGTAAGTTATATAAACCACCATATTTTAAGCAGCATTTTTCTTCTTGCTGTTTTGATTAGTACTAGAGAGCAGAACAATTACTAAATTCATTCCAGGAAAGAAATATGGAGAAATTATTGATCAGAAAGTTATTTTTCCAGTTCAAACAAGTTTCTGGTCATTTATTGATGTGGATTCATCTTCAAAAAAGCATATACAACTGGATAATACTGTAATTGGGCAGTTGGTGAGTCTATACTTAAAACAGTAATTTTACAATATTGATTAAGAACAGTAATACCTTTTAGAAAAGCACTATGGATAAAATGCCAATTTAGCAATGCATTTTCTAAAATGTGTTAATTTTTTCCCAGTCAAGAAACATTTTCATCATTCTATAACACCTGGTATCACCCAAATACTATAAACAAATTAAATAAAAAACCATGTTATAACAGCATAAATAATATTCAAGAAATTATTGCCATAACAAATATAAGTGCATCAAGTAATATTCTGAAAGTTCCTTTCCGAAAAACATTAAATCTTGCATTTTTAGAATCTTTATTTTTAAATATTTTTAAAATGTTAAAGTTTTATTCTAAATTACTTTTTTCAAATTAGGACTTAAGCTTGATTTCAGCTACTCTTGTAGATGCATTTGGACTTTTGATATACTGCAATGAAGCATCATGTTGTCAGTCTCCATTTCCTGTTACAAATTTCATTTTTAAAAAATCTATTAATTCAGAAGAGATTTATTCTATCACTCAACAATTCCAAACCCAAGATTATGAGGAAGTAAGTAGAAATTATACTGTTAGAAATTATAACAAAAAAGAAACGTTTTAATTAAAACATTTTATTAAAATATTAATATTTAATTATTAATTATGCATTAAATATGAGCATTTTTCATAAAACATAATTTATACTGTCATTTCAGTTTCTTGCTTTTTCAAAGAATCTGCATGTAGAATTATGTCCAGAATCAGAAAGGTTAATTCATGGCTACTATCTAGCAAGTCGAAGAGTCAGAACACAGCTCATGAATGGACCTAATCTCTCAGCAACTTCACTAAAAATCTTGTAAGTTGATACCTGCTAATTAAATATTGGGCATTTTGGCTTTAAGTTGGACTAAGATGAAATGGAGATGTACTAACTAGCAACTCCTGATCTCATTAAACATGTATCCACAAATGTGCTTCAGGTTGCATAGAAATGTTTATGCTTTCTCTATCCAGATATTAGTCCAAACATTAAAGCAGTGCTGTTTAGAACATGTATCAACGGTGTGTCTAGTTTGTACAACTGTGTTGTCCCATGCACTAGTCAAAGGAAGATTTGTCCACTTCTGAGGATACACATATTCAATGTCTTCTCAGATAGCATTGTTAGCTGTTTATCCCTAGTGGCTGTTCAGATTCTGCTCAGCAAGTTTTCAAGTCCAAGCAAATGAGCTGTTTTCACTGCAAGACATTCTGGTAGTGATCAGAGTAGACTCCTGGATTTTTCCTATCCATAATTTTCTAACAGGATCAAGGTTTCCATAAAGTGCCACTAGACAGACATATTAATCCTTATTTATCGGTTTATTTGTTCAGCAATTGGTTTTGTGTGTGTGAATGAAATAGTGGCTATACATATTATGTACATGTTGGAATCAAAAGCAGGATTTTCAGTGATAAAATCAGTCATCTGAAATGTTGTACAATGGATTTAAAAGTTTTATTTTTGTTTGTAGGATTTCGCTGTCTAAAGCGCATGCCAAGCTGAGTCTAAGGACAAAAGTACTTGAACAAGATGTTTTAATTGCAGTATTATTATTTGAATCATCTCTTACTTTAAAATATGGTAAAAAGCCAAGCAATTGCTCATAAGTCCAAATAAGATCGCATTAAGATGTTTAACAGGAGACCTTATACATAGTTGAACACACAAGACCAAAGATGCCAAATGGCAGGCAGTACTACTCATGACATTTCTTTTCTTTCCTCTTATCAATAGGCTGAAATAATGTTATTGAAAAGTAATAGTAGGAGATATTTTACTATTTGCCTTCTAGTAGCATAAGTTTCTATTTTCAGAATTGATTCAACATAGCTTGTTACGTATGGGGTATTTTTGGAGGTTGGTTTGGAAAATTTAAGACTGTTCTGCTACTGCTGAACTATTAACAATCTTTCTGGTTCAACTTTATGAAACCTGTAATACTTCAGCATCTGAATAGCTATTGAGCCCCTATTTTCTTGAGGTAGAAAATAAATGTTTATATTATTCTTAAGTATAATTATATAAGTAATAGCTTTCAAAATTAGTGACATAGGAAATTGAGCAAATGCAAAAATTTGAATCATCAAGCATTAAGGTAACTTTTATTCAGTAGTTATAATAAATTTCTTTTCCAGGTACTATGTAATCCATATTGCAGCTTTTTAAATAAGGTTTCTTTAAGGCATGATTTGGAACTTTTTTTTCTGATGAAAAACATTCCCTGGGGGATAATCCAAAACCAAGAGGGGATGTCACCACTGTTCTCTCCCTGGTATCTTCTCTTCCAAGCAACAGGTTGCAGATCAGATTTCTTGGGACCTTATTAGCAGTCTGAATTGCTCTTCTACATATAGAGTTTGATATTAGGGTGGAGAACGTATGTAATTTTAAATATAAATGGAAAGGCATTTTTCCAAAAGGCTAATTTTTAATTATATTTCATATATGAAAGAATATTTAACTCTAGTAACTTTTCAAGTAACAAATTTATAATTTGCTTTTACAAATTTATGCTCAAAAACAAATTCCTAGACAAGCTTGTGATTTTATAATTTTAATTAATTTAAAGATTAATTCATTTTCTTTACACAGGTGCTTCTGTATTTTGTGTGGCTCCTAATGCACTTTTTCCATTTGAACTCAATTCTGAGAACTCCCTGAATCAAAGGGATATTTACTTGATGGAGTGCCACCAGCAACTGAAACAGTTTGTTGCTACATATGGGCCTGTGACACATGTTCTCAGCAGTGAGATTTAGCAATACACAATATCGAATCCAATTCTCAGGAAAATTAATTCATTCATCTAGCCTAACTTTGGCCTTTCAAGTTATGTTACAGAATACATTAATGCTGTAATGACTCAATTAATGCTGTAATGTTTCAAATATAACCTTTTTTTAAAAAAAATCTTGCATTTCAGCTTAAGTTAACATTCTATTCTTGCAGTACAGTAGTAGTTTTTCCCCCTATATCTCATTAGATTTTTCTTATTCTGAATGTTATAGCAAGCATAGGAAAATAGATATTTATTTTAGTTATTACTGAAATTGCATTCAAATTTTTCACATTGGATTTTATTCTCACCCCCCAAAAATCAGAATTGCGTTCCATAATATAAAACAAGAAATGAAATTTAATGGAATTCAAAAATATACAGGCTGGTATTCAATCTCCCACATGGTATAAATAAATGGCAATTCATCGGTAAAGACTTTAATTTGATCCAGTGCTCACTAAGGCGTACAATAACATTAAAAACAAAGATTATACATATACACAAGTCAACCATGGTTGTGAGATTGGATTTTACAAAGATATAGGGAAACAGTTTATCGATCATGGCAGGTCTGCTTTTCTCGCCTAATCTTCATGCAGAAACAAGAAAACAAGCTAACTGAAAAAAAGTTACTCTTTCCCGGAAATCTGATAAACAAATATGATGAAAAATATCCTTAGGAAAATGCTGAAGTGTTGTTTTGTCCTATATAGATTTTTTAATTTAGAACTACATCATCAAACTAAAGTATTTGTTTAAAGCTAATTTCATATTGGTAAACAATCGCTCTTCCATTTGTCTTGTCCTGCAAAGAAATAGGGAGATTAGTATATCACATTAAACAGCAGCAAATTGCATTTATATTAAGGTAACATATTAAATAAAAGGAGTTCATTCAAAGTTTCATTTTTGTTTTCAAATCAGCAAATCTTTAGAATTTTCAATACAGATCTCAAATGACATGAATGTTTTCATTAAACTAAAATTAAAAAACACATTTAAGTTCAATTTTGTAATAAACATATTTTGAAAACATAATTTCAATCATTTTGATGACCATCATTTAGCATTCAAGATGCAATAACTCTAGTCATCTAAATAGTTCATTCAATTTAACTTTTAATCAGATTTGCATTTTTTACAAAAATACCCACCCAAATTCTTACATTCTTGTGAAATTTGCAATCATTTCAAACTGATAAGTAGTGTTTAAATATAGAATTCTCAAATTCTGAACAGCAGTTCATGACTACTTGGGGAAATATACTAATTAAATCACTTCAGAAAGACATTTTAATATATAGTATTTAAATTTTCTAAGCAAATACTTTACATGGTATAATTAAAGCTTTATTGGCACCTCAGAATTGGAAATACACATCACACATTCAGATGGGTAAACGGCAAAAGGAAATCATCATTGTGCCAGTGATAAAATATATATCCAATTAATAAAAACGTGTATCAAGTTTTTTCCATTTTAGTACTGATTTGCAAATATTTTTATTTATCTCAAAGGGTAAAAAAATAAACAAGCAAGCATTCATGTAACTTAAATCTTCTAGAAATAAGTATTCATCTTTCCAAATGCAGTTTTATTAATCCATATCACAATTCTTACTCTCTGTATAATAAGAGCAATACTCACCGTTTAATATGGGATTCAGTGAGGCATACGGATTGCTCCCCAAAAGAAAGAAAGAAATTAAACAATTAAACAATATACTATTTTTAATTTAATACAATGGAAGCATTTAGGATTTTTTAAATTTTGCATTTATGAATAAAGGTATTTTATTGCTTCTAATTGCTTGGTATGCAAGTATGTAGGAGATCTCATTCTACCTTGTTTCCCTGAAAATAAGACCCTGTCTTATAATTTTTGCCACAAAAAGGAACCAGGTCTTATTTTGGGGGGAAGTCATCCACTAACTAACCTTACTTGCACGTGTTGCCCCCGGCCTCCTTTTTGCTGTCAGAGACCTTCAGGAACTTCTTCTGCAGCCGGCAAGGCTTTCCTGAAGGCCTTTACAGCAGACAACAGAGCTCTGGATCATCCAGAGCTTTATCAGCTACACAGGCCTTCAGGAAAGCCTTGCCAGCCTTGCTGGTTGCCGAAGAAATGGGCTGCAAGGCCTGGCTACAACTGTCCAAAGGTAAGTAGTAGGAAAGCTCCACACACCCCCATCCCCACCCCAGCTTAATTTTTACCTGTACACTCTAGTGTGGGCAGCATCTTAATTAAGGCTTATTTTGGAAGTAGGGTTTATATTGGGCACACATGTAAAAAAAATCAAGCTACGACTTACTTTCAGGGCAAGTTGTATTTTCAGAGAAACAGGGTATCTATACTATCCTTAAAAAAACAAACACAAAGCACAGCTCAAACACTGGATCATCTCCTTGAATGTACTTTAAATCTTTTCTTCTCAAAAGAATACATAACATTACTCTCTAAATTTACTATTCCTAGGTTGCCACTTCATAAGGGAGTTCATATGTACCTATGGTATCAACTACTATTATTACTGAAATAAAATACAAAAAGAGTACAAAGGTTGGATAGTTACAAAGAGAAACCTAGAATGATAACTGTGTAAAATATGTTTAAGATATCAATATGACAAAAAAGAAATGGTTTGGCCAATGGACAGGAATATATGATCTGATGAAGCAGCTAATGTCTCTGAAATAGTCATGAGCTGGCTACACTGTACAATGAACTTACTAAAACTTCAACAACCCTCACCTGAATGCCCCAAGACTTTAAAACACCCAAAATGCCCAAAGAGGGTGCTGGCAAATGATATAGCTCAGTTGCAAAGACAATAATTGAAAATAACTTGCATAGTACGTTGAAATAGTTATAAAATTCTGCAAAGGCCTTTATTCTACAATGGACTGATTGGGCTGCTGCTGTTCCAAAACGTATGGGGAAACTATGAAGGAAGAATTAAATCCAGAGTTAAACTATTTTATTCATGCACTATTCTAATGAATGAATCTTCTTATTGTTACTCTTGTTTAATAAGAATGAAATAAAGGTTAAAGATTACAATTTCCACTCTTTGGGACTCCAGCTATCTGAACTAGTAAAATATTCCCTACAGACTTATTTCAGGCTGAGAGCGAAGTACACTTTTCTCCCCTAAAACCATCAAAGTCTCAATAAAATGGTATTTCTAGGCTTAAATTTACTGTTACAGAGTGAAGAGGTCAGAGGTCATGGCTTCAAGATGACTCTCTAGGTAATCCCTGCACTGACAAAGAAGCAATTAATCATTAGAACAGGGACATCTTAGCTGATGCGACTGATTTATGAAGACATCAACTGCAGTAATGATCACTACTTGCACAATTCACAATTCATCATTATTCAGACAGCTTGGCAGGGTGGAAATAACTCAAAATAATCAATACTCAAAGTATATTTTCCCTAGTTTCTTTAAAACTTTAATTGAAAGCCACCAAATCCTAGAAAATATACAAAAATAGAACAAGGAATTAGCAATTTTATACACAACTAAAAGACAAATGCATTAAACTATCTATTACACCTACACATGCTTCAAAAATGAAATTTATTGTCTGTTTCAGGGGTTGTAAAACTTTAATGTATTTTATGTCCAACCAAAAAACCCTCAGTTCTATGTATTATAATGGGCACTTTTTTGAAAATGACTTTTTATTCTTATTATAGGCATTATTTTATTGTTTATCATATATTATGAATTTTATGAAACTCTGCTGCACTTTACAATACATCACACAATATCTCATGCACAGCAAACACTTTATTTCTTGTTCTGAGGAAAATAAAAGTAATAGTGGAAAAGTTTTGTTACATTTAGACTCCTGTCATTTTTCTGCCTTAAGCAAAAACACTATTGTCCAATTTTTTTAAAAAAATAGAAAGCTCAAGATAAACACAATACTTCAAGTAAGGGTAGTCCTCATTTACTGACCACAATTAAGATTAACTTAAGTGACAGCTCTAAGCAGAGCTGTCACTAAACAAAATGGTGACTGTGCTTATGATTTTTCTTTCTGCTTACTACTTTGCAAAAGTCATAAATGTGAGAATGTGAGTGCCATCGTAACAAGCTACAATGGAACTATGAATGGTTCCTAAATGAGGGCTATCTATATAGCATGATAGACAAATAAAAACTCCTGAGAATACTATGGACACCCAAGAAAACAATCTGATATATCATTGAACTAATCAACCCACAGTTCTCAGTCAAGGCACAAATGACCAAGCGCAAAGTATCTTTCTGCCGACATATTATGAGAAGACCTAGCAGAAGAGAAGAGGACAAGCAGCAGCAAGATGCATAAGTCTTACCATGGCAATGAATGCACCATTAGGAGACTTGAAAGAACAAGTTAAGAGACAGATTGTCATAGAGAAAATCTATGTGATCAGTAGTAGTTGAAAATAATTTGATGGCACATAATCGTCTTCATAGCATGATAGCAGGTCTTGGTCAAGAAACATGGACAAAATAAATTCCTAGGAAGAACTAAATAAGTTGAATATGATTTTAAGAGGATAGCAATGAAACAAGAAGTGTTACAGTTATTTTAAGCTTCTAAAAGGGAAGCTCTATTCTGTAGTCTTTTTCTGCACTAAGCAGATGGAAAACAATAGCCCCAGGCTGTCTTGAAATCAGTCAACTTAGAAGCTACCACCAGTCTTGTTCCCTAGTGAATGTCTATTTTAATAACAACTAAAATGTCTTTTCTGCTTCTTAGCTATTACAGTTATGTAAATCTTTCAATGGGTTGATTCACCACACACAGAAATGCAACATGCAGAATGCTTGAAAAGCATTCTTATACAATAAACCTAAAAGATGTATCAGCTTTAACAATTTCAAAAACTGCCCTATAAAAATATTCCTGTGCATTCCAAATCAATTCTGAAGAATCTGTAATTTTTTCTAGTTTTTATAAATTTTAGTTTGGAGAAACAAGTTATGCACTAAAAGTAATTACAAGGAGTGTAAGAAGTATGCCTAAAACATTTTTTAAAAGTATGATTATCTTATTTGTATAGATATATTTCAAAATATCCTTTTGTCTACCAAAATATATTTGGAAAATGTTTACTATGTTTCACAACTTAGCACAACTAGAAAAAATTTTATTGATATAGTGTGAATTTTCAGGTTCAGTTTTATAAGGTTTTAAAAAAATATTGTGTAGTGCTCCAAAATTTTGTTGGATTAAATAAATTTCACCTTAAAGTGTTTTTATATGCTCACTTAAGATTAGATAACTATTTTTCTTAGATTCTTCTAAGCTGCAATTAAATTATTGCATTTGCTGTCCTTGAATTTATTATCACGGTTTGACATGAGAAACTGATCTGTAGTCCCTTAAAGTGGAAGATTTCATAGCTACCGACTAGCCCAATCTCAGTCACTGCACCAACCTCGAAGGGTAAATTTTTATTTAAGGAGCAGTTGCTTCATCCCCAATCATTTTTCCATTCTATACCAGTAGCGCATCACAACCAAGTAGATTCAGCTCAGCAAATCCAATCTTCCCGGCCATTTTATTAGACAGAAAGTACAATTCAGCAAAATTAGTTAATAGTCCAGTAAGGAGCTTATAATGTAAACTACATAAAAGAAGTTTTGAGATTCTGCAGGCAGTAATGGCAGAAGTAAATGTAGAAAAGCGATCAAAGCTTAAACTCTATTCATATTAGGCGTCTCCCTAGGGCAGCTTTGTGAGTTTAAGGGCAAATTATTAAAATGAGCACCAAGCCCTCAATTTTCTAAACCTTGGCCGACAAACTAATTCAGTGCCAATGCCAACCCATAAAAAGCGGCATGGCTCCTCCTTACACACCAGTCTCCTAAAGAGATGAGTTGGTCTCTGACTAGACCGAGGGGGGAAGCTTAGCCCCTCCGCCGAGATGGACAAAATGGCGCAAAGCACGGTCTATTTTTAACAAGGAGTTCTCTGGTTTCTTGAGGGGGGTGCCATCGTCTTTCTTTTTCCGTTCGACCACCCACATCAGACCGAGAGGCTCCGAAAAATCTCTTGCCTAAGACCCTTTTCCTGGCGTACCAACCGTTTGAGGAAAATCCGAAGCAATGATGTCTCTGCCAAACGTCTACCACTCACAGCCCTCGGTACCGTCCGCTAGAAGGTGCCCACTCGTCGGAGTCTAATCTTTGTTTCATCACACTTTTCGGGTCAGAAGAACGAAGGAGCCCAGCGAATCCGCGGACGAACCTGGCAAGGCGAGGCCTATCCGATCGTGCTGGAAGGCGCTCAATCGCAGCCGAGTCTAAACGAATCGCGCGCGCGCGCGCACACACGCGCCCCGGGGCTCTTCGCCACGCGGAGAAACAACACGCCAACCCTCGCGACGAGCGGGAGCCACAACGGGGGGGGCCTCCTTTTTTTGAGGGCCACGTGATCAGGGGGTTGGCCTCCGTGGGCCGAATATTTTTTTTCCGTTATCTACACAGCACCGACGTTTAATGAAAACTAGTCAGGACTAGTTTACAAACTACAAATAAAATGGGATACTTTCGGATACTTCTTTTAAGCTGCTTTTAACGAACAAGCCGACCTCTCGCTTCTCAGTTTCCTTTCGTGAAAGCGGCGCGACCTCTCGCGGTATAGGATCGGCCCTAAAAAATATACAGGCTCGCGATGCATTGTGGAAAACGTAGTTCCAGAGGCGGCCATACCTGGCCGTCTTTGGGCTCGTAAAGGTAGCCAAGCTGGAACTCCACGAGGGGGTAGGCGATACTGGCTTCCCCATTAACTTTGCTTGTCACATGACCCCGGGACACTGCAGCCCTCATAAATAGAGGCCAATTGTCAAGTGCCCAAATATTTTATCAGGTTAATCATGAGAATGATTCAATTGTTTTGAGTGTAAAAAATTGTTAGAATTTTTTCAGTGCCATTGTAAACTTTGAACGGTCACTAAACAGATAGCTTTAAGTCAGCATATTTGCTGCCCCACTTGCCAATCTCTAACCTGCCACTTCCTCAACTTCCAATTACTACTGGTTGCTTGTTACTAGGATGATGGATGACAAAGTATCTTCAAGTTACTTAGAAGGTGGGTGAATGAAGAGAAATACTATTTTAACACTATCTTGCCCTCCTTATACTGGTCTATGACTATAATAAAGATGTAATTATACGTCTATAACAAATATTTAAGCACAATGGCTTAAGCTTTTTCACTCATGGGTGGGAATAATGAAGGCCCTGTACAAAATAAAGATACTGCCAGGACACGTTTGTGCCATGTGCCAGCAAATGTGGAAAAGCCCTATAATTTGTTCACAAGTTTATTTGATATCATTATGATCTCAGGGACATTCAGAAGCAGAATATTATTTAAAATTATCCTGAAAAGCGGAAATACGAATATTTCCATTTCTTCCATTGTGAATTTGAACTCAGCAGCTAGGAAGAGGCTGAGGAATAGTAAAGTTGAGATCTATGAGGTGGGAGACAGATGTTATGGGTATCATATTTTAGTACTGTACAGTGTTCCTCCTATTCCTTTTCTTTTGATAAAGGTACACTGGTATACACCTGCCCTTTCATTTTTATGTTAGTGTTCCCGCTATAAGATTAGTTCCTGGATTCATATGTCCTCTGTCAATTGTTTCCATTCATACTAAGTACTTAAGTAAACTTAAAACACTAATGCCATACTGTTTGCTATGGTAAACAACACCTACAAAACTTATACATGAGCTAAGAATGTTTTTTTAGAATAAGCTAAAATAAAAATTGACAACTTGATGGCACATAATTGTCATCATTACATCAAAATAATAGGATTTCAGATAAAGCTTTTCTTTTACAATAGAGGTGTATGTTTTTAATACTAAAGATAAAAAAATACATTGCCATAAGTGGTTTGATCCATAATGATAATTTACTTAAAATCCCAATTTTATTGATGTACAACTCCTTAAAAAGGAATTTTTAATTTTTAATCCTTTAATCTGATTTTCTTGGCTTCCCAAAAGGTTTGCATTTTTAAAAAAGCAGGGTAGTTTTAAAAAGTATCTGACAATAAACATTTGAGAAATAATTTTGCAAATAATTTATTCATACAATAAGAGAAATTGTCTGTACTTGTAATCATTGTTGCTTTCATGCAAATCTTTTAAATCAAATTAACCAAATATGCAAGCTTCATATTCTGTGGTGAACATCATTTATAAAGATATATATATATATATGCCATATTTAATCTACAAAGCTACGTACATTATTTTTTGCCACACTTGTGTTTTGGAATAACTTTTGTTTCTGCTTTAGCTAGTTAACATACAAACATTTCAGCAGAGAAAATTAAATAATTTTATCTAAAAAAGCATGTAAGATTTCCAGTGGGAGAGCTGTCTTTATTTGTAATAGCAAGAGCAAAGAATCTTCAAGCACTCCTACAAACTGATAGAAAGATAGGGCATACATTTTTCAGGATCAATTTCATTAGATGTATGAATTGTTGTAAATTAAGAAGTGACTATACATATACAGTATAAATAAAATGATCAAACATTTATGAAAAATAACAATATGCTGTAAAAAGAATTTTGGATATATTTTTAAGAAAGTGTAAAAGCTGTAACTTATTCTTCAAAGCAATTTTTTTTGTTTTACTCTATAACAGAATTTCATGTCTAAAATTCATACATCCAGTTTTGCAATGTTATTTCTTGGATTAATTCTTCAAAACACCAGGTACCTTAATATTATCTTTGAACATGACAAATGCGGAGGACAATCTGTGTGAGAACCTATGCCTTATGTCATCTATCATAATTCTGTGACACATGTGGGAAATTATGAATAGATATATTTGAGTATATAACATGGATCACTGGAATACTTGAAATAGTTCTGCAGAGCTCGTCAGTTAAAAGTCTCCAAACTTAGATGCATTGTTTGTTTTTTTATTTGTCAAATTTATTTCTGCCCATTTCAAAGTTCAAGGTAACTGAGCAGCTCAGCTTTTAAACATTAGCTTAAAAATCAACTATTTGGTTATCTTATTTAATTTCTTCAGAATTGGGGTACAACAATTCACATTTCATAAATTATCAACAAAGGTCGCAGCATGCCTGTAAATTATCCACTACATTATATTCAGCCATTTCTTCACACAGAAAAGGATCTCATAAACAAGATGACACACGAGCTGGTATCTTATAGATTTCAATAGTAGCAACATTCACACAATGAAAAGTATATTTTGCCTTTTGAGAAAGCTACATAAGAAATAAATGAATTACACTGCACAACTGATGTGTTGTCCTAGGCTGTGAAGAAAGCAATCTGAATTAACAGGCTGAATTTCAAGCCTACCATTTAAGGATGCTGGTCAATTGGAAGAAATATCACAGATACTGGAAGACTCAATTTAAATATATCTGGAATAATAAATATAACAGCATTTAAGAAAAAAAAAACCAGGATTACATTTGAGAATTTGTTGAGGTTTCTCCTTGAGTTACATTTTCTGCTTGCACTGAGGAATTCAAAAATTGTCCTGATGCTCCAATATATAGGCGTGATCTCATTGGCCATTTCTAGAAGATAAAGATGCAAGATAGATTAATAATGCTTGCACAAATGCAGGAAACCAGCAGCTTTATTAGCAATTACATGAATTAAGCCAGTTCATTTAAGGATACATTTATCAGTTATGGGACTATAAATTCTCCCATCCTTTATAACCTGCAATTTGCATTGGACCAATGCAAATAGTAACCATGTGTAATGGTATGTGGGAATGCCCTTTGGAGACAGAGAAAAACCACAGCCAGAGAAACAGCTGGAGAAGAGATAGCTGAGCTTGCAGCAAAAACGTGGGTATGACAAACTCAGAAGGGACACTCTCTAGGTTTTGGGGGCTGTAAAAACAATGGCAGAAAATATAATTTCAGATTTACAAGATCTGTTAAAGAAACTACAATAATAATTCAGCCAGTTCATCTGGTAAGTTTCTTGACTGGATTGCCTTGCAAGACTGACATCATCGGAGAGCTATCTAGATTGGTATGAAGTGGGAAGTAGATCTTGATACCTCATTAGATATCTTTAGATTGAGCTCTCACGTTATTGTGCCGCATGTCTACAATTACTGACAGCTTATCTCTACAAAATATTTGCAAAGTGGTGAAAGAAGGTAAAAAATAACAATAGGCCAGCATATTTATTATATTTATTAGGTTTAAATCTTGTCCTACATTAGATATTATTGCTCATATACTCTGCTTGTAGAAGAAAATAACATGGGTGTTTTCATCTATGTGTGTTTGCACACCAGATTTTCTTAAAAACATGTTTTCATAAAAGTACACTACATCCAATATCAGATTAGTAAATACGTCTATAAATGTATATTTAGAAAAATGCAAAGTTTAATAGGATTTATGTAATCCTATACACACAAACACTTTGATTCTATGCTTAGTTAAATCAGATAAACATAACTAAATGGGATTTATTTTCTCATATACACATATCAGAAAATAAATCTCATTGATTTAGTTGTATTTATCTGAAATAACCAAGCACAGGATCAAAGTACTCATGTCACATGTATATACAACAAGCACAGGTTTCCAACAGTGAGATTTATTAAAATAGCAATAATTGTTGGTGCCATTTACTTCTCAATGCTATTAGCCAGACCTAATGTAAAATCATAAATTCCATTAATCTGTGAAGAAATGGGGACTGAGCTCCTCTGGTATTACAAAACTAATTTCAAAAAATTAGAAAGCCACTAAATGATGGCAAAGAGATATAGAGAAACATTGCAATGCCATCCAGTTTTGTAGTTTTACTTGTTTATTTTGCCTGTGACCTTGCCAAATGGAATAATCTGGTAGATGATATCTAAACAGAACTTCATATTGCAAGTAAAGTGGCATTGTGAAGAATACATTGTGAAAAATTTCTTTTTCAGGAACTTCTGTGACATGTCTCTAAAATAAATTATTTATAATATTTTTTAAAGGTTTACCTATGACATAATAGACAGCCTATTAAAAACATACAATTCAGAAATGTTCAGTAGTTAAATGCATTGTAATGCAGAATCAACTGGATCGTGTTTATGGCAGGTTTGTTAGTCATGGTCAACATCTGGTTTCTTGACATTTATCTGAAAATGTTCCTGAGATGTCAATGCTGTTTCGATTATTTTAAGAATGTACTTTACTTTCCACTCTACATTATCATTTTTGCTGTGCTCCTATGCTATAGCCAGAATGACTTTTTAAAAACAATTCAAAATATAATTATTTTTTTGCTAGTGGAAAAATGCGTAACTAATTATATATCAAGCTATCATTGACATTTCAGTAAAACTATTTTTAAAAAGTGCATACAGGCTTATTCAAGATTACTGTTAGATAATGTTAGTCTTGGAAAGAAATAATGAAAGCTCCATTTAGTTTGT